AGAAGAGAGCTGCTCATTCTGTGAGTCATATATACTGCAGCATCCAAGTCTGAGCCCTGGCTACAAACAGAGGCAGCACCAGGGAACGAGCTCACTGCTAACATTAGGTTAAGTTTTCTGCTTTCGTTTCTCCTCTACTCAGCGTGTATGGGGACGCACTTAAAGTTTAGGAAATGTTCAGCTTTTTGCTCTAGATTTGCTGGTACAGAATGCAATCTCATCCAGAAGGGGCAGAGGATCCTTGAGAAATTGGCCTGAGGATCTCCACAGAGGATCCTTCTGCTGAACATAGGAACCTCTTCTCCGCCAAGATTCCCTGCACCAATGCATACTCTCAGCTACGACTGCTCCTTCAGTCTTAAAGAGCATCTCTGTTCAAAAGAACTTTGTAATGTCTTCCCAACTGGCTACTGTAACTGGGTACTTCTATTTCTCAGTACTTTTCCCATCCTTTCATCTTGAAGATGGCAGAGCAGGTACAGTATTTGAGGATTTCATAAGGACTGTAACTTACTTTTCCTTGTCTGTGAACGTGTTAGAGTCTGCCAAGCTCAGTTAAGGTATTATTAAGCAGCACATGCACAGGACATCTTAACCATTCTCTGTGGTATGAAAAAAAAAATCTTAATTAAAATTTTTTAAGTTTTACTCTTAAATTCCGAAACCTGACATTCTTTTTACTGGTCTTTCTCGTGCCTGCTAGCAGGCATTTTTTTATTTGATCGATGTCTAAAACACTGAAAAGGACTGGAGAATAAGATAATTCTCAAGATGGTAAAATTAGCCTGCTAGTTTTCTAAACACCTGACCAGAATTTTCAACAAATGCACCAAGGGATAGCTGTCAATGTGCTCCACTGGAAGCGCAACCCAGCCAAGCCACCAACGTCTCGTTCATCTTCATGGCCAACTGCCTTGAAAGAATCAACCACAGGCGCATTGGATACTCAAAACCACAACATGTGACAGCACCCCAGATGAGCACCCCAGACCACTTTTGCCTTCGTTGCCTCCTCATCAACAAAATAAGGTTAACCCAGATAACTCCTTAACACCCCTTCTGGCTCAATACTTCTGGAATTGGCAGAAAAATGGTATTGAGAAAAGGATAAAGTCAGAAAATCCTAGCATCTCAGCTCAGTTCTATCTTGTGAAACCTTCATGATTTTCCAGCTACCTCCCTGGTGCAGGACAGTTTGGCCATCTTGTGTCTTCATAAGATTTGCTTGCAGATTTGCACAGTAAGTAAAATCATTCTGCATGCAGCCAGTCAATGCATCTCAGGCCTTGGCTACAGAAAGTCCTAGTCATAGGTCTCCTGCTGCAAAGACCAAAAAGCAAATTGCCTCCTTGGAAGAGACTGAATGCGTGGTCTGTTACGAACCAGACAGGCAGGACCGCACTGAATGTCTACTATATCTCTTTCTTTTTCACATTAAAATAAAATTCATCTCATCATCTTCACTTTCAAGGATATCAAATGTAAGACTCAGCAGCTATAGAAAGGCAACACAAGATGAGTAGGAGTGGGACATGGCTGGACATCAACTTGCAGGTATGTTTCCGTTACATTTTGCATGCAGGATATTTTCTAAAGCTTTTTACCTGGCTCCAGACCCTATGACTAGGATAACCCCATAATAATCAGCCAAATAGGATAAAAATTCTAAGCATGAAAGGAGTTACCAAAAATAATTAATAGGCATCAGTTGACCCATGGTGGGCATAAACCAAGACTTTCCCATGTAAATAAGAGTGTCCTTTACAAACTATATGTTACCTACTTATGAGCAATAGCAACAATGTTGAGAATTCATAACAAACACAGGGATATGATCACAGTGTTGGCCTATAGCCCCTTTAGGAAATCATTCAATCAACACCACACTCCCCTAGTTTTTTTCCCACTTTTCTGGCTGCCCCTTCTTGGTTTCCCTACTCTGATCTTCCTCTCCCATGCAACATGTTGGAGTTCCTTAAAGCTCTCTCCTGGGACCTAATCCCTTCTCTCCCCACTCTATAACCTCTCATCAAAATGATCCACATCCAAGGCCTTAAGAAAAATCACAAGAATCTTTATCCTCAGGACATACCCCACTTCTGACTGCCACACCTGCATCCACACTCAACTGACGCCCAGTGTCAGACATCTACCGCTGAATGTGTCTACTAATGGTCTGTGTCCCCAAAAATTCATATGCTAAAACTTAACTGCCAATGTGATCGTATTAAGAGGTGGGCCCTTTAAGAGGTGATTCAACCGTGAGGTGGAGCCTTCTTAAATGGTATCACCTCCCTTATAAAAGATGTACAAGGGAACGGTTCATCCCCTTTTCCCCTTTTAGCCCTTGTGCCATGTAAGTACACAACAAAAAGGTACCATCCGGGAAGCAGAGCCCAGCTTGCTCCAGATACAGAACCTGCTGGCACCTTGATCTTGGATTTCCCAGCCTTTGGAACTATGAAAAAAAAATGTCCTATTAATTATAAATTACTCAGTCTACAGTATTTTGTGTTAGCAACTGGCACAGACTAAGAAGATGATGAAAGTAAAACCCCCTGATCTGCCCCAATCTCACTCTCCCAAATACACGCTCTCCCTCCAGAGTCCCCATGACTTTAACATACCTCTGTTACGTGTTTATGCCAGAAGCCATTTCCCTGATGCAACAACAACCAAGAACTGCAGATCTGGCTCCTAAATATATCTTCAGTGAGTTGACTCTGTCCATCCCCACATCTACACCAATCCCCCATCACATCGCCCAGAGGGGAGCTATCTCTACACAGTATTCTCCAGCCTTTGCTATTTCCCCGTCTCCACCAGTACACCAAGCGCACTTCCCGCCCAATCCATTTCTTACAAGGCAACCAGAGTAACCTTTTTAAGAAGCAAATCAGACCACATCATTTTTAGGTTGAAACCTTTCCTGAGCCCCCAATGCTCCCAAGAGTGTGCCCCAAATCCTAAGCCCAGATAACCCCAACTCCCAGCTTTCTGTTTGTTATGGATCAAACTCCTTCCCACATCTTGGCATTCTCATTTGCTCCTCGCCTTTGTCTGAAATAGCCTTTTCTAGGGAGGGCCTTCACATCCATGCTTCCTTCCCAAGAATGGGAAGGAAGGATATGAAGCCTGCCCATCCTTCCTTCCCATTCTTGATGGGGTAGAAATGGGAGGAGAAAGAAAAGAGGAAAGAATTAAAAATGGGAAGATGAAGGTGAGAATGATGAGCATGGAAGTGAAAGGCTATGATGTGAGGTTTTAGACAACTCCAAACAAGTGCAATGGGACTTGACTTTTTTAAAAAGTTAGTACTTTATATTCTAGCTACTTCTTATCTCCAAAGAGCCCCAAAGGAAGACGATATTCCAGAAGAGACATATGGAAAGTGGCGGGGGTGGAGGATGGGGGAATGATACTAGTTTTGTTTGTAGGCAGGCAAGTCACTCAACATTCATGGACTTGGGCTTCCTTGTCCATGAAGTCATAAAACAAGATGACACCTGAGTTTCCTCTGGGTCCTGTGTCCTGCAGGCCTTTGTGGAACCCGTGGTAGCTCAGAGCCCAAAACAGGCACTCTCTCTTGCCTCCAGGAGCATCCTAACCCCATCGTGGCACCTTCCTGTGCACTGGGCATCAAACAGTAACTTCTTTCTTGCCTGTGTTACAACAAAGCATATCTGAATCCCTCAGAGCCCACTCCAAAAATGTCATCTTCCACAGAGGGAAAATTGAGTCCTGCCTGCACTGAGAAAGCTGCTTTGAAATCTAAGTTTCCTGATGGGAACAAGCATTAAAGATGGGAATTGCTTGAAGCACAACCTGAGTGATTAAACTGACCAGGCAAAGCAATTCAGAACAGAAATGTCTACTCTTCTAAGCTTGCCTACTTTTTTATTCAGTTAAAATATTACTTTCCATATAACAGCTCAAGTTTCTGTCCACCCAACATATTTTAGACGGTATTTTCTGTGACTCCTCTGTGGATCCCATTTTTAAGTACACAGGAGATGCAACAGAGACTGTCAGAATAAGGACACAAAGAGAGGAAATTGTGTGTTCACATATGGGCAACTTCAGAGATCACTGTTCAGTGAAACGGATGCTAAATTATTGCAATCAGCAGCAGCGCTGATAATATACACCGAAAAGGCAGCAATAATCTCATGGAGTAAACCAGGAGCAGTTTGTTACACTGGCCGAAAGCAATGAAGCCTCTATTGGTTTATTTCAGCCTAGAAGTAAACTAAAGGATAGCCAGGCCTGCTAGCTCACACCTGTAATCCCAGAACTTTGGGAAGCCAAGATGGGCAGACCACTTGAGGTTAGGAGTTCAAGAACAGCCTGCCAACATGATGAAACCCCATCTCTACTAAAAATACAAAAATTAGCTGAGCGTGGTGGTGCATGCCTGTAGTCCCAGCTGCTAAGGAGGCGGAGGCAGGAGAATTGCTTGAACCTGAAAGGTGGAGGTTGCAGTGAGCTGAAATCATGCCACTGTACTCCAGCGTGGGCAATGTAGTGGGGTGGGAACGGATGGGAGGGGAGGGGAGGGGAGGGGAGGGAGGGAGGGAGGGAGGGAGGGAGGAAGGAAGGAAGGAAGGAAGGAAGGAAGGAAGGAAGGAAGGAAGGAAGGAAGGAAGGAAGGAGAGAAATAAAGAAACTGAAGGGTGATAAACGTGCGTTGTAAAATTTGTCAACAACTGCATTGTGTTTGTGAAAGCTATGATGATAAATTTGGTGGATTTGGTCAATGCAGCTGCCCAGAGTGGGACAGTACATGCTAACAAGACACTCTCCTCCACGAATTTCTCTGAGAAGTCGTCTGAGGCTCAAAAGGGCTACAAATCGGTTCATTAGTATAAGCCAAAGTTCTATGAAACTAGTCAAGTCTTCCCATTACCAGCATGTGCCAAAACAACAGTTGCACAGGCGTTAAAAAAATTAAAGCTCAGAAATCCACATTGACATCAAATCACGATTTCCGGACTACTTACATCAGTGTCGGGTCCCTTATCCGCACCCGGACAGGAAAAAGTAACAAATTCATGGCACCTCTTGTGGACCACAAAACAGCAAACTGGTAGAGAGAAAAGAAAACTAAAATTAGAATAGACATGATTTAACATATGAACTTTGTTTTCCAAACAGGGATACTTGCTGTTAGAAGTCAATTTAATTTCACTACAGATGGAAGCTTATAAACAGCGATCAGAAGGCATTTCATTTGAGAATCAGCAACATTTGGTATTGATTAGACTCATCGACAACAGGTGCCCAAGATACCAGCACTGACAGGGCCACATAAACTGTGGCTCTTACTCCCTGAAGTTAAGGGAGAGGAGAGTCAGACTCACAAAGGAGAAACCAGGAATCAAAATTTAAAATACTCTGCACCATCCTAGCCAGTTCACTCCTATAATCCCAGCAGTACAGGAGGCCGAGGCAGGTGGATCACCTGAGGTCAGGAGCTCGAGAGCAGCCTGGCCAACATGGTAAAACCCTATCTCTACTAAAAATACAAAAAAAAAAAAATTAGCTGGACATGGTGATGGACGCCTGTAATCACCTACTCAGGAGGGTGAGGCAGGAGAAATCACTTGACCCCAGGAGGTGGAGGCTGCAGTGAGCCAAGATCCATGCCACTGCAATCCAGCCTGGGGTGACAAGAGGGAAACTCCCTCTCAAAAAATAAAATACTTTGCACTATCCTATGACAACACACTAACATGCACATATAAACGTATGTAAATGTTATATTCTGTAGGTGAAATAAAATCTAAAGAGAATAACTGATTATAAATAATATGGATATCCCTAAATGTGAGTTGCAGGAATTCCTCAGCAGAATTCTGACCTTAATAAACTAATTAAGACATAAATGCAATCTACAGAAAACAGACCAGACCTTTTTGAAATTAAAAAAAAAAAAACTTCAGGAAAAACCCTAAGACCTTCGTGTATCGGCCTTTTTGCTACAGATACTGTCACCAGTTGGAAAAGTTCCTGCAAATTCAGCAAAATCCACTACAAAGTAAGTATTTTCAAAGCTTAACATGGTTTTGATAAATAGTCCTGAGGATGAATCAATATAATAATTGTTTTAGAAAGTAATCCCCTAAGAGGTTATTTTTGTTGTTGTTTTGTTTGTTTAAGACAGGGTTTCACTTTGTCACCTAGGCTGGAATGCAGTAGGGTGATCTTGGCTCACGGCAGCCTCAACCTCCTGGGTTCAAGCAATTCCCCTGCCTCAGGCCCCCAGTTTGCTAGGAATACAGGCGAGTTCCACCACACCCTGCTAATTTTTACATTTTTGTAGAGACAGGGTTTCACCATGTTGCCCAGGCTAGTCTCGAACTCCCGAGCTCAAGCAATCTGCCCATCTCAGCCTCCCAAAGTGCAGGGATTATAGGCATGAGCAACTGCGTATGGCCCCCTAAGAGGTTTTTATTGATGGTAATAATATAGGGGATGCAAAAAAGAAATGACCTAGTTAGTTTCTCCTTGAAAGCTCAAAGTCTGGCTCCAAAAAGGTATCATCTACTACTCTATTATTTGCTGAATAATAACAAGTTAAAAAACAGTATATCCTCAGAAATACCAGGTCAGTCATGTTTTTTCTGCATGCTATGGTTTGATTGTGTGTCAGCTCCAAAACCCATGTTGAAATTTAGTTGACACAGTGGCAGTTTTGGGAGATGGGACCCCTGAGAGGTAACCGGGTCATGGGGGTTTTGCCCTCAGGGTTGGAATTAATGTCATTATAAAAGGGTGAGGAGAGTCCCCCTTCAGTCTCTTTGCCCTTCTGCCTTCTGCCACTTGAGGACAAGGTCTTCCTTCCCCTGGAACGTGCAGCAAAAAGGCCCTTGCCTAATGCTGGCACCTGGACTTCCCAGCCTCCAGGAGTACGAGAAAACACATTTCTGTTCTTTATAAATTACCTAGTCTCAGGTATTCTGTTACAGCAGCAAAAATGAACTAAGACACCGCACAAGGAAGGTTAGAACTTCCCAACTTTGTGGCTCATAGGCTATTTTCTCCTCTCACCCATGGTAGTGCAGTTCCCTGCCCATATGGCAGGAGATACAGAAGACCACAGAGGCTGAGTCATTTCCGTAGGTGGAAGAGGGTGGCAGGATGGCTCAGAACTGAAATCCCAAGTGGAGCCAAGAGTACTGAGAGGAGCTTGAGTAGCCAGTCAGAAATTCAGAATAGCCTTGGAAGTCACTGAAAGGTTCTGAACCAAGAGTAACAGAGACAAAAAGCAATGCTTTAGAAGTGCAAATGGTGGCAATAGGAAGAATTTAATAGAATAGATTGAGGCCTATAATGCCCAGGTAGAAGCCTCTGGCATAGTCTAGATATGAAAGTAATTACCCATCATTATGCAGGCTGCTAAGAAATGGAAGTAACAAGGGCCAGGGAAATTACAGAAGAATGATGAGACTTGCTAACTGACCACACAGCACCATTTACTGAGCATCCTACCGTGTGCCAGGTTGCTGCTGTTGTGCTGGGTCCCTTCACATGCATTCCAAATTGAATCCTCATAACAATACTCCTTAATATACTGTAATCTCTCTCTCTCTCTGTCTCTCTCTCTCTCTTTTACCCTGTGACAGAGTCTTGCTCTGTCACCCAGAACTGGAGTGCAATGGTGCGATCTCGGCTCACTGCAACCTAGACCTCCCGGTTTCAAGCAATTCTCCTGCCTCAGCCTCCTCAATAGCTGGGATTACAGGCACGTACCACCACGCCTGGGTAATTTTTGTATTTTTAGTAGACACGGGTTTCACCATGTTGGCCAGGCTGCTCTTGAACTCCTGACTAAGTGATCCACCTGCCTGAGTCTCCCAAAGTGTGGGAGATTACATTAATTAATCCCAAAGATTACAGGTTTGAGATACTGCACCTGGTCTGCCATATATATATATAAAATGGATAGGAAAATGGTGCCCAGACCCCTCGCATCCAGCTGTACAACAGAAATGGGAGAATGGGAGACAGGAATGGGAGGCAGGGAGGACAGACAAATGGATAGAGGAATGAACCAACAAACAAATGAATCTCTTTCCCAAGGTAATTCACCATTGATGGAGCCAGGATTCATACTAAGCATTGCTTGACACCACGACCCCCTCTCCTTTCACCATGTCATATCCACTGGCAGGATTTCCAGAGCAGAAACGGAATAGAGCTGATACCAAAATTGTTTACATGGGTAACAGGAAAATGAGTACATGACAAAGTAGACACACACACAAATATACCTACAAAGATATACCTGTACACACCTATGTAAAATCCCAGAGGATAAAGACATGGGTATATTAGAGAAATAGAATCATAGATAATTCTTTTTAAAGAGTTTTCTTTTAAGATAATTATAATATAATGTGATTGTAAAAATACACATTTTAAAGGTACTCATGATGCCATGTTACTGTAAAAATACAGTTTTCAAAAAGGAAATGGATGCCTGGCCTTGAGCAGACAAAGAGCCAGTTATACAAACAGGAACCACCCACAGAAAGGTGACGGGTGGAGATCTCTTAAAGCGAGCATCCCTTTAGAGGGGGAGGTGCCCTGAGTGAGGGATCCTGCTGGCTGCGGAGCACACTAGCCACACCTGTCAGCCGGCCATGCACAGTCAGGGGCAGGAGGAGGTAAGTGTGAAGTGGAGAAAAGAGCCCTCTTGGCTGCCCCGGCAGCACAGAAACACTCAAAGGGCAGTGCTTAGCTCCTACAAGCCCTGAGAGGAGTGGCCTTCCCACTGTGTTTCTGCTAAAAGCATCTTGATTGCAAAACTCTCCAAGGATGGATAATAAAGCCACACTGTGATGGTGCAAATTAATCTGATCTGCTCTCTCTTCCCAGGCACAGACTCATCTTTCATCCACTGGAATTAGGAAGATAAATTACCACAGGAAAAAGGTTACAGGAGCATTATTTCCTCATCGTGGTTTATTACAGATCCAGTGTTTTGGGAGGAAACTAAGCATTCTCGTTCCCTATTTAATCGTTCAAACATTTGGGCCTTTCATCTCTTTTTAAAAAAAACACCTCCACATTCAGATGAACACTGTTAAGAAAACTCACACTTGTCAAATCCCATGGAAGAATAGTTTGCTTTTTGTATCTGTTCTGTCTACAATTTACAGGTCAATGCAATTATTTATCTCCAGCTGGAAGTATTTCTACTGCAAACCTCAAAAAACCTCTTAAGTCAAAGTGTCTCCTAAAAAGACCCAGGCCCTCATTATCCAGCATAATTTGCAAAGGCAACAAAAAGCCTTACCTGTCCCAAAATAATTCCCTCCCAACCTGCCTTAACTACCCCCTCCCCACCTTTCTTACATGAAAGCTTCCCATCTTAAGGACTGAATTCACCCTATAAAAGGCAAACAGAAGGGCCATGTGTTTGAGACAGTCACTCATAGATTTGTTATCTGGGGATTAAAGACCCCTCTAAGCCTATTCAAAGACTCAAAATTCAGAATGGATGATCTCCAATGAAAGAAGAAACAGAATGTGCCCAATTCTGGGTTACTAAGTAGAGAAAGCCCAGATGCCCCCTCTCCTCCCCAATACCCCCACCTGCAGTGAGGGTAACAGGGAAGAGGAGCTTGGAGGTTGGCTGATGCGGGCTGGATGCAGCATGTGCCTGGGAAAGACTGCCCCAGAAAACTGAGCAACAGCCAGAGGTTCCAAAAATCACAGATGGCTGGCCTTGACCTTTGGGTTCAAGTTCCAAACTAAGTTGGGTAATGCATATTTTGTAAGATAATCTAATGAAGACATTTGAGAAGTCTTGCTAGTGTTGTTGAAAGAGGAAAAGACTGACTCAGTAAAAACAAAAGGATGCACTGGGTTTACCTAGAGATGGACAATATAGGCTTTCCCCCGGCTAAAAATCAGGAGCTGTAGTTTTTGGTCTTTTTTCTATATTTGGAACTCTAAAGGAATTCATCTCACCATGGTATGTGAAGCAAAGGAAATTGGAGAAAAGGGGTAATAAGTGGTACCTGTTACATAGCAAATCTTCAACAAACATCTGCCTGACCCTGGCGGGAAGGAAGA